TGATTCGATTGACATCGATAAACGTTTGAACTTCACTCCTATTCAACAATTGTGTGACCGAGTAGCTATTCTATAGGATAATCTTGTGACTCCCGAGTGCAAAACCAAAAACTCAAAGTAATGTAGTGTAATTTATTGAATTAAAAAAAAGAAACATGTACATAATATGCGTAATATATATTGTATTCCTATGTAATATGAAAGGTTATTACACTATCTATTCAGATGCCTATATTTTGTTAAGAAATAAAAGATTATTACTACTGGTATGCATCAATATACACACATATACATAAAGACAATTATAGAATATAGTATATAGTAGGTACCTACATGAGTTTATTATACATATTAAGAGGTATTGTTTTTATTATGGTTATTATTATATAAGTTAGTTATCAAAATTATAGAAATTTACACGACATTAGTATGTGTTATTAATACAGACACAGAAATAAGAATTTCTGAAATGTTGAGTTTAGTTACAGCTGAACCTTCAGTATAAATCAATATAGACATGCAGTTTGTCTAAAAAGAATAGCTATGAATTGTGTTTTATTTATTATAATTTGTTCACAATTTTATGATATATTGCCTTTTGTATCAATGAACCACATAATAGGGTAAACATTAAATGAAAATTCAAAAATAATATCAAACGACAGCATTGTGTGTAGGTAGGTCAAGCAATATAGAGGTGTCAACGTTAGTATAATTGAATGAAAATGTAAATTAACAATTTTGTGGAAAAAAATAGCTTTGTACATCAATTTAATTTAATAATTAAATACATTTACATGATTTCAGACATCAGTTTTTATTACTTTTATTACAGACACATAATTGAGAATTGTGTTTTGAATATTGAGATTTTACTGTTGTACCATCAGTACATCAATATGCTATTATATATGAGTTAACAACATTGACTGACCTACTCAAATTATTTGCCCCTAAATACATTAGGCATCATGTGTTTGGGGGATTACATTGGTAGTATAGTATCAGTGGCTGTAAACACAGTCTGATTCGACAAACGTTTCACTTATATTCTACAATTGAATATCTAACTACCAGCATGAGCAACCTATAGTGAGACCGAATAGCTATTCTATAGGTTTACCTTGTGACTACCGAGTACAAAACCAAAAACTCAAAGTAATATAATGTAAAAAAAAGAAATATGTATATATGCACATGCATAGTATACCTATGTAATATGAAAGGCAATGAAGGCAAGAACACTGCCTTTTCAGATATATATATATACAACAGAAGAACAGTTGAACGTTGCTCATCGAATGTACGTTTATAAAATATCCAGTATCTATCCTGGATTTATAACTATACATCAGTCAGTCTAAATATATTTTACATTTAATATTATAAAGTATGTTTGAGTGAATTCAGTCCAAGTCAGTGTATCGGATTAAATGGAACTGAAAACATACACTGAATTTAGAATCGTTTAAACGTCGGGTTCAGTTACAGCTGTACAATCAGTATAACTCAATAGCTAAAATATCAATAATAAAAAATTTATGACTAATTTATTAATCATTGACGGATTTTAAAAACGTATACGAAAACTGATAACGGGAGTGTGATAACAAACACAGGAAATTTGAAAAGCATCGGAAAAAAATGCAAAAAATACGGGCGGCCGTACTATTCAATGGGCCGCCGCAATTCGACGCTGCCGCCGTATCGAAACCTGCACCCCGGGGACTGTGACCTAACGCCTAAGGGTACATACGCACTATGCGGTTGCCCGCAATGCGGCCAGCCGTCCGGTTGACCGCAGTTTACGGTTGGTTCAGCGGGTAGCCGTAATGCGTCCAGCCGTCCGGTTGATCGCAGTTTACGGTTGGTTCAGCGGGTAGCCGTATGCTAAAAACAACTTTAACAACTTTAACAACTCCATTTCAACTATGGACGTTGAAGAAGTGATTGCTGTTTATTACATCTACGATCGCTACATAAAAAAGAAAAAGAAAAAAAAATACTGGATACATCCTTTCCTACAAACCAAAGATGAAACCAGGCATTTTGATATATTTTTTGAAAACCTCAAAAAATATGAAGACAAGTTTTTTGGTTACATGAGAATGAGTTTAAAATCATTTGAAAAATTATTGAGGATTTTAAGAACATCAATAACGAAGGAAGACACACGATTCCGAAAAAGTATTAAGCCTGAAGAAAAGTTAACCATTGTACTACGGTAAATAAAAAAACCAAATTATTTTTAAATTTTATGTTATAATTTTTCAAATTTCATGATTACAAAAAATTACTCATCATTATTATTATTTTAACATATTTTACTTTTATATTATCATTATAATTAACATAATATCATTGTCTTATGAAATTGAATTTAAAAGGTCAATATAAGAAGTTTCACTTTCATGAGATTCGTATGTGTTCGTTGAGTCTGCATTTGAGAGAGGTGATTGATTTATGGTAGTTTCGTGATGTGGGGTGGTTGCAGGTATAGATATTTGAATAGGCGTATGGTTGTAAGGATGGTATCTCATTTGTGCCGGATAAGGTCCACGATGTGGATTATTTTGAATATTCCAGTCCCATGTATTTTGCCTCTGAGCGTCTTGAATGACCTTTAAAACGTCCAATTTCGTTTGCATGCGCAAGTGTTCTGGTATTTTTTTTAAAGTCTTTTACCAAAGACATAAAAAAAGACGATCTTCGTCGTCTCCAACATTTTTAGTTTCTAAATTTTTGTTTAAAATTCCTATTAACTCTCTACCAATGTCATCATTTTTATTTTTTTTATTACGTTTTGGTACCCACGAGGAATCTGAAGGATGAGCAGTTGTATGTTGACCTTCTACAATTTCATCTTCATTATTTATTTCCGTATTGGAAGTAATATTTGAACTCGTTAAATTCACCGACACCGTATCTTTTAAAAATAAATGGTTGTCGTAGAAAACGTAGGGGCATTTTTTTTTTGCTTTAGAACCACTTTTATTCTCCTTTGCTTTGTGGGCCTTTACAAAAGAATCACGTATATTTCGCCATTTTTTCTGAAGATTCACGCCTGAAAAAAATAATTGTTTCAGATATTTTGCAACAGGTTGCTCATTTGCAGAACTACATTATGTTTTTCGGATTGGAATTAGTACTGTCGCAGAAATTGTCCGAGAAGTATGTGCTGCAATATGGTATTGTTTAAAAGAAATATGTCTACCTGAACTAACAAAAGAAATGTGGTATCAAATTGCAAATGGTTTTTTTAAGAGAGCAAATTTTCCTCACTGCATAGGTGAGTATTACAGTGCCAATTGCTATTGTATTTTTTAACAATAATTAAAAAATATAAAAAAAAAAATAATCATATAAATAAATAATTAATAATCATAAAAAAAATACTCATATTAATATTCACTCAAAATTGCATGTATCTACTGTCATTTATTTTAGAGTTTACACAAAAAACCAAAATCGATTTTGAGTTAAATCAGTTTTGCGTAAAAATTCCCGTTTTTTCATTAATTTTTCATTTGTTTTTCACGGTGCTTTTGAAAACTATTGGGAATTTTACATGATTTTACAGTGATAGTATTTATTATTTTAGGTGCATGTGACGGCAAACATATTAGAATTATAGCACCTGCCAATAGTGGATCAATGTGCTATAATTACAAAGGATTTTTCTCTCTAGTTTTAATGGCAATTTGTGACAGTGACTATAAATTTGTACTAATAGACGTTGGAGCGTATGGGAGATTTGGAGACTCAGCAATTTTTCAAAATTCTAATTTTTATAAAAAAATTCAGGAGAAACGTCTGAACATTCCCGATCCATCACCGATTTCGCCAGATAGTACCACTTGTTTGCCGTTCGATTTTGTTGGCGATGAAGCGTTCGCTTTAAGTACAACTATGATGCGTCCATATGCAAGAAACAATTTAAATGTTACAAAAAAAACCTATAATTATAGGCATTGCAGAGCTAGGCGTTATATAGAATGCACATTTGGCATACTTGCAAATAAATGGCGAATATTTCATAGACCTATCAATGTAAATATTGATTTAGTTAATGATATAATCAAATCTGCTTGTTTTTTGCATAATTTTGTGAGAGATAGAGATGGTTTTTCTTTTGAAGACACTTTAAATAACCCATTAGCCGAAACCATTGCATCAGATAGTGTTCGAAGAAATGACAGAACTGCATTGAGATACCGTGAATTATTCGCAGAATACTTTATGACCGAGGGAAGATTGGACTGGCAAGACAATTACATTTAAATTTGTATCAAAATAACTAAATAAATAAATAACTTAATAACTAAATAACTAAATAACTTTGTAATATAAATAAACTAATACAACACAATTATCAAATGTACTATATTCTACAATAAATTAATTAAATACTAACCGAGTTTTTTCTTTTCGTCCGCTGATAATTCACCGCCGTAAATATTCACCACCTCTTCCCAATCTCTTTGTTTTTTATTTCTGTCAGAATAATCTGAGCACTTCGTGTTCCAAAGAGATTGCCGGTTCTGGATTTCTATGATAAACTTTTCAGTATCAAAATCCATAATTAAAAATTAAAAATCGAGGTACCTACGCCGATGACGGTTTACCGCAGACTAACCGCACAGTGCGTACGCAGAACGTGCGGTCAGCCGTCGAAGCGGCCGCAACGATTCAAGCGACCGGAACGGTTTGCGGGTAACCGCAACGTAGTGCGAATACAATTTTTCGGATGTACAGTATTTGCTTATAGTTTATCACTTGCGGTCAACCGGACGGCTGGCCGCATTGCGGGCAACCGCATAGTGCGTATGTACCCTAACACTACCTACCTACGATTTGATATACCGGTTATTGTCAAATCTACCACACTTAAGCTGTTTTTCCGCAATAGCAAATATTGCATTAGACATTGCTTAACCGATTAAATTCATAAGATTTGTGTGTAATCAAATCGTAATTCGCTTTTCTACACGATTCTGGTGTGTGTGTGTGTGTGTACTACAATCCCTATCAATAGTTGTCCATATATAATATACTTTACTACATTAGGTGTATAGACTGCTTGAATGAAATGTATTAAAAGTTACTTTAATTGTAATATATTATTATAGTGCATACAATTAATAACCACAATCATCGACATGTCATGCATTATGTTCATACA